CCAGGGACAAAACAGAAGATCCTAGATAGAATGGGGGGGGGGGAATGTAGAACAAAACTCAACTTTCTAAAAAAGGCTGGACCTATTGGACTGAGAGGAAGAACCCCTGAGATTATCACTCAAAGAAAACCTTTGAATGTGGAATTGAAGCTATTTCTATAGGTCACCTTTTGGCCATATAATAGATTTGCTTATAAAATAAACAGTAGCACCCATGAGTAATGTGCTCCCTTAAATAATGAACTATATGAGACCAAGCAGTCAACATCCACCCAAAAGCAAAGGTGAGAAGGCAAAGAGGGGCCGGGAGGATAGATCAATGGAAACAGACAAAAAAAAAAAAAAGGAAATAAGAGAATACTGACACAATGTAAAAATTATAGCCAATGGTAGAGAACAATTTGTATATAAATTGTTAAAAGGGAACCTAATTTGCTATGTAAACTTTCACCTAAAACACTGTAAACTATTTTAAAAAAAGAACACCTCTAGTGACAGAAAGCAGCTCAGTGGCTGCCAGTCGCCAGGGTGGAGAGACTAACTGCAAAGTGACAAGAGAATTTTTTAAGCATATGGGAATGTTTCTGATCTTGACTGTGGTAGAGCTTACATGAATCTACACATTTGTCAGAACTGTTTGAACCGTACACTTAAAATTGGTCAATTTTATTGTATGTAAATCAGACCCCAACAATGCTGATTTTAAAAACTAGAAAGATGCTAGTCAAAAGTACCAACAATTTCTCCAGAGAAGATACACAAATGGCCAATATGCACATGAAAAGAAGCTCAACTTTGGGAAATGTCAATCAAAACCACAATGAGATATCACTTCATACCCGTTAGCAGGGCTGTTATCAGAAAAACAGAAAATAAGTGTTGGTGAGGATATGGATAAACTGGAACCCTTGCACATTGTTGGTGGGAATGAAAAACGGTATAGCCACTGTGAAAAACACCCTGGCAGACCCTCAAAAAGTTAAACACAGAATTACTGACCCAGTCATACCAATCCTGGGTTCATACACAACAGACCAGAAAGTGGGGAACTCAAACAAATATTTGTACCTCAGTGTTCACTGAAGCATTATTCACAATAGCCAAAATGTGGAAACCATCCAAGAGTCCATCAACAGGTGAACTGTTGTTGTTGCTATGTGCCGTCGAGTCAGACCTGACTCATAGCAATCCCTCCTTGGGTTTCCGAGGTAGTATCACTACCGAAGTAGATTGCTCAACCTCCCCTCCGAGGAGTGGCTGGTGAGTTTGAACGGCCAGCCTTCTGGTTGGCAATCAAGTGCCTTAGGCACTACGCCACCAGAGCTCCTCAACACATGAACAGATATACAAAATGTGGTATTATGGTATAACGGATTGCTTTTATATGGCCTTTCTCACCATGGTCATGTAATTCTCATCAAATGATTAGGTAGGAGTATGCAATTAAGGTGCTTGTGGCCCACCAAGGGACTTAACAGTTTGCAAATGAAGCAACCAAGATGAATAGAACCCTGCAGGGGTGGAACCATGCAAACAAGGTGTGTGGAACCCTTATGAAGGGATTGGTCAGCTTTGCCTTCCTGCTAGGCTTAAAATCAATCATCCCAGAGGTGATCAGGGGAGCCAGACTACCACCAAGAGGAAGAGACAGAAGCGAAGCATGTGCTTTGGACTCAAGCTCCCTGTACTGGGAACCTCCTAAACCCAGAAGACAGAGAACTATAACAACAGAGTTGGCAAGAGATAGAGAGAAGTAGAGGCAGTAGAACCAGGAGACCAGCAGGAGATGGTGCGGTGGGCTTCCTGACCCACAGAGTGAGAGAAAGTTAAGTTCATTTGGGTAGAAGGCTTGCCAGCAGAGTGGGGTGCCTCTAGGCACTTGGCAGAGCTAGAAAGCTAAACACCTTCAGGCCAAGCCTTATTGGCAGATTGGGGTGCCTCTAGGCACTTGGTAGAGCTAAAGAGCTCTGTAACACTTGCCTGAGCAGGGCAGAGGCCAGTCTATCCCAAGAGACCCAAGAAGTCTAGGGGCTCAAGGGGCTGAGGAGCACAGGGGCAGAGAGAGAGGCCTGCCTGCAGACACAGCTGAGAAGAGGCTATCCTGACTGAAGTACTGTATCGTGAGTCGTTCCTGATCCTGAATTGTAACCTGTCACTTCCCTCATAAACCCAATGTTGTTGTTGTTGTTGTTAGATGTCGCTGAGTCTCAGTTTTGACTCACAGCAACCTTATGTCCAACAGAACAAAACACTGCCTGGTCCTGTGCCACCCTCAGAATCGCTGTCATGCTTGAGCCCATCACTGCAGCCACTCTGGCAATCTACCTCGAGGTTCTTCCCCGTCTTTCCCCATAATTGTAATTATTATATATGAGTTCTGTGTGGCCACTGTAACAGATTATTGAACCCAGCAGAGAAGTACCATGGGAGGGATGGCTGGTGTCAGCAGTGACAAAAAGGTTGGAGAGAGAAGGTATGTCTGATCTCTACTTCACAGGAATCAGCCTTGGACTTAAGTATGGTGATCTTCCCCTTTGTAAAGTTAGAGGAGGTCAGGTACACCCACACTGTCATTTTTTTTTTTTTTTATAGGTATGTATATACAACAGAGTATTATTCAGTTATAAATAGAAAGGAAGTTCTGATACAAGGATGAAACTTGAAAACATTATGCTGAGTGAAATAAGTAAGACATAAAAGGACAAATATTCTGTGAGTCTACTTACATGAACTATCCAGAATAGGCAAGAGACCAGAGAACATTTATTTGAAAATAGGGTCTCTGCAGATGTAATTAGCTAAGGATATTGAAATCAAATCATCCTAGATTTAGGGTAGGTCCTAAATCCAAGGACCAAAACCAATACAAAACTCACTGCCATCAAGCTGATTCCAATTCACAGCGATCCTCATTGGCTTTCCAAAGCTGTACATCTTTACAGAAGCAGACTGCCCCTCATTTTTTTCTACGGAGCAAATGACAGGTTCAATCTACTGACTTCCTGGTTAGCAGCCAAAGGCCTTACCACTATACCATCAGAGTTCCTTAAATCCAACAATAGGCATCCTTATAAGAAGGAGAGGACCCAGGCAGACCAAGAGGCAATGGAAGCAAACACTGGAGTGAGCGATGATGGATCTACAAGCGAAGGACTGTTGGCAGCCACCAGAAGTTAGAAGGAAGTCAAGGAAGGATCTTCCCCTAGAGCTTCAGAGAGAGCTTGGCCCTGTTCACACCTTGATTTCAGACTTCTGGCATCCAGAACTGTGAGAGCATACATTTCTGTTGTTTTATGCTGCCTGGTATATAGTATTGTTACACCAGCACACTCATATTCAGCCTATCAGGGACTCCTGCCCTCACCTTTTTGGGTCAAAGAAGGGAAGCCTACATCATGTTGTATTACACAAAACTGCAACTATAATTAACACATATGGGACAGACCAGGCTCTTGCAAACAAACTAAGAAGCTCACCCTGTAGGTTTACTTTGCACCACGTTGTGTTTATAATAAAAATAAAACCACTCTCTTGTCAGAATCACACCATTTTAGGGGTCAGAATGAGAGTCGCTCATTGTCTACTTCTTCCCTTTAAGCAAATTATGTTCAGGGAAACAGTTAAACAGTGTTTGCTCCCCTGGGCAGCATTAGATAAGTCTGTGAACTGAAATCACTGTTCTTACACATCAAAGGATGTCAAATATCAGCAATTTCATGAGTCTTTGAGCTGATGTGGAGAATCTACATCAAAAAGACTACATACAGGCATTTAAAGTTTAATGGGCTCCCCTGAGGAACAAAAGTGATGTACCTGACCCCAGCTAGAAAGGCAACATTCTGATTTACTTTTCCAGTAGGAATACTGGATTTGGGCAGATCATTCACATGATCTCACTAGGACTTTCTTTAAACACTTGCATTCATGCACACACATGTGTACATACTTGTATACATCCACATGTATTCATACATATGCACATATGTGTACCACATGCCTATGCAACACCCACATATACGCATGCACATACGCACACACAGATATGCACATGTGTGCACACGTACACACGTGTATGCATGAACACACACACACACACACACACAGACCAAAACTGGGAGGCTGCTGCTGCAAAGGTGAAGGGCACCAACACTGGAGCCAGATCCTGGGTTCAAATCCTGACCCTTTCATCTCCCGCACTGTGACCTTGGGCAAGTTTCTTAACCTTTGTAGTGAGCTGAATTGTGTTCCTTCCTCAAAATATGTTGCAGTCCCAACCCCTGTGACTGGTCTTATTTGGAAACAGTATCTTTGCAGGTGTTAATTAGTTAAATATTTGAGATGAGATCATCCTGGATTTAGGGTGGGCTCTAATTCCAGTGACTGGTATCCTTCTAAGAGCAGACACAGAGACACATACACAGAGAAGAAGAACATGTGAAGATAGAGGCAGAGATTGGAGCAATGTGCCTACAAGCCAAGGAGCCCCTGGGGCCACTAGAAGCAGGAAGACACAGGAAAGAGAATAGCCCTGTGTTACAACACCCTGAATTCAAACTTCTGGCTCCCAGAACTGTTCTTTTCTGTTCTTATAAGCCACTCAGTTTGCAGTACTTTATTATAGCAGCCCTTAGACACTAATATAACCTCTCTATGCTCAGCTTCCTCTGCCAAAAATAGGGATAAGATCTCATCTCAAAGGACTAGGAGGAGACATTCTGCATGGAAAATCCTGGACGCAGAGCTGTCTCACTGTTGTATTGTATACAAGCACCCAACTTACATCAGTAGAGATGGGGGAGAGAACTCCACAAGCAAGCTTGTGGCTGAGGGGTGAGCTCTCCTTACTGTTCATCTACTGGATATTCAAAAAGCAGAACAGACCCAATTGTGTGTTATCCACTCTCCCACCACGGCCAGCTCACCAGCATAACTTACTGTATTAATGTCTCTAAGGGAAGGCTGGCTATGGACAGAGAATAAGGTCAGCATGAACCACGTACCATGCGTGCCAGTGCAGGCCTGCTTCAGCATGGGCTTGTCCATCTTCTTGGCATAGAAAGCGGCGTACCAGACACGCAGCTCAGTGCCGGGCGGGATGTCCCGTGAGGTGGTGAAGTACACATCACTGTCCTGCTGGTAGGCCGTCAGGTTCTGGTGCTCATGCTCCACTGCTGGCCGCACCAGCATCATCCAGTTGCAGTCGTCCTCATTGGAGGTGTCAAAGCAGACAGGGTGCCCATCCTTCTGGAACACCTGAGGGTGAGCACATTCCCCAGGGAAGCGGGGTGAGGAGAAGCTGGTTACTGACCAGCCTGTGTCTCTGTGTCAGTGTGTGTCAGGGGGATGCTGAGGAATCAATCTGTAAAGAGTGCCACACCAGGATCCATGTCAGGCTCCTGGATGAGGGCTGTTTAGGATTTACAGTAATTAAGAGGATCACAAGGAGACGACTTTGCTTAGATGGTTCATTCCGGTCACAAGCAAAAGGGAAGTGGTAGACATAGCAAAAAGTCATCGGTCCATGTGGGCACTGGGACACTTGAGTTCTACTCATGGTCCTGGTAGGCATCAGGACACCTGATTTCTATAACCTGTCTATGTGGGCATCAGGACTGAACTATATTTCTGGTCTAGGTAGGTATCTGGACACCTGAATTCTACTCCTGGCTCTGTTACAAGTATGCTGGATGTCTTAGTGAAGTTCTCCTGTCTTAAGTTGTCTCCTCATAAAACCAAACTATTGCTCTATGGATTCTTGTAGTCAAGGAGCAGAAAGAAACATTTAAGTATTTTGAAATTCAAATAAACCTTATCACAATTATAGGTTTTGTTTCCTATTTTCCAATGTAATTACTGCTTCCTAACTTTATGAAGAAATTTCTTCCATCTCCTAAAGCTTTTCCTTTAAGGGCTTCCTACTGGCCCCCTGGGATTCTTGAGTCAGTGTGGAGGGTATACCCATACTGACTCACCACCTGGGTGGGATGGCATCCCCTGGGGACACCAAGCTGTCTGTCTCAGCCACGTAGGCTGGGCACAGCACCGAGGAAGGCACCCAAAACAACTCAATACCAGGCACTGACCTAGAGAACCAAGTACCAGAAAGAAGGCCAAAAAGGACACAGAGGGCTTTTATCCTTCCTTCCTCCTTCCCTTGTAAATAAATCAAGTGCCTTTACATCTCCCTCTTTGCTGAACATTGCCTGGTAAACTAAATTTTCAAAGGACTGCCAAAAACCTGAGGTCATCCATTCCATCTTTCTATCTTGAAACAAATGGATCCCTTTTAAGGATCTCTAAGAAAAGTTCACCTTCATCAGGAACTTGCAATGACTAATAGCCATTCTCAGTTGTTTATTTGACAAATATGTTGAAGACTTGCTCTGTGCCAGACACTATTCTAAGCGGAATAGAAAGGGTTCAGTTAAGCATTCAGCTACCAACAGAGGTTGATGGTTTGAATCCATCCAGAGGCACCTCAAAAGAAAGGTCTGGCAATCTATTTTCAAAAGATCATAGCCTCTGAAAATGCTATGGAGCACTGTTCTACTCTGAAACATATGGAGTCACCATGAGATGGAATTGAGGGAGGCAGAGGAGTGAATAAATCCCGCTCCACCTGTCTTCATGGTGCTTCTAGAGTCTTATTTTAAGCTACTGTAAGGTCCCGCTTCAATTTATATAAATTTTGTTTTCCTTGATCATAAAAGTAGAGAGCAGCTGTCTTTTCTCACTCTGGTGTGCCTTTTAGAGCTGCCAAACTTTGTACTATCACATGGTGTATCATTGTTGCCTAAAGCAAAACACCCTCCTCTAGAGTTCTGAAAAGAACCACACACTCTGCAAGGGATATGGGGGAAGGGAACTATGTTGACACGCTTCTGCAAAAAACTACAAAAATTATCACCTCACGAAGCCTCCAGTGTCAGCCCCTGATGGAAGAGGACTAAAATCAGCATGTGTGGCCTCATTCTCTTGTACACATTTTAAATACACTCTTTTTACCATTTGTAATGTTGAAAATTACAAAACACCAAGGTAACTTTGATTCTCTGTTGGCATAAAAATAAAACTGAAAGATAAAACATTTTCTTAGAAATTAAGCAAAACCATAATATGTAGGGACACTTCAAAACATTTACTGAAACATGGTAGTTAGCCTTCCCCACTCACACAGGAGGGGGAAAAGAGGAGTTTTTACTCAGGGGGCACTGAGTGTATGTTCCTGGTAGTGGGATAATTTGGAAAACGACAGTGAGAATAGCTGCAAAGTATGAAGACTATAATCCATGTCACTGAACTGTGCATATAGAAATTGGTGGATTGGTGAACATTTGATTGTGTGTATTTTCACCACAATAAAAACCAAAAATCCCACCTCTGGTTCTCACGCTCTGATTGGCACAAGTCTTTACCTTCAGTGGAAATGCGGATTCTTTCTCCCACTTGGCAACCCTCCGAGACTCAAATGGACCAAACTGGGTTCGCTTGACGAGCTGCGTTACGGCAAACACTCCCTCAGTTCCATCTTCCAGCCGTCTGATCTCCAAGTTGGAAGGAAGAGATGACCTAGGCATGGAAACAAACGAGAGGCTCATGGTCCTGTGTGCCTATTGCTGAGGGTGGCCCCTCACTTCCTGGGGGCAGATTGAATAAAATAACCTCAAAGCTTGCTCTCAGTGGCCATGGCAAGACTTTTGAAATGAAATACTAAAAGAGGATAAGATAAAAGCTTCCCCGGTCAGTGGTAGTTCAGTGGTAGAATTCTCACCTTCTATGCAGGAGCTCTGGTAGCATAGTGGCTAAGGCACTTGACTGCTAACCAGAAGGCTGGTGGTTCAAACCCACCAGCCACTCCTTGGAAGGAAGATGGGGCAATCTACTTCCGTAGTTATAGTGATACTGCCTTGGAAACCTAAGGAGGGGTTGCTATGAGTCGGGTCTGACTTGACAGCTCCTAACAACAACAACAACATGCAGGAGACAAGGGTTCAATTCCTAGCCAATGCACCACATATGCAGCCACTATCCTGAACTGAACCGAACAGGTTTCAGCAGAGCTTCTTGATTAAGACGGACCAGGAAGAAATGCCTGGCAATCTACTTCAAAAAAATCAGCCACTTAAAACACTATGGATCAGCAACCCATTATGGGGATGACACAGGACCAGGTAGTGTTTTATTCCATTGTGCATGGACTCTCCATGAGTTGGGGGTAACTCGACAGCAGCTAAGAACAATAACAGTAAGTGCAAAGACAGGCCTGCATGGTGGAGGCTTCTGCTGGCGGTGATACTGTGACCTTTCAGCCTTTGCTACAGGAGGCTTCCTCTAGGGCCCCAGAAGAATTTGCCCAGAGCACATGATGGAGGGGGCATTCACTAACAGCTGCTTAAGTCTCCCTATCCAATAAACCATTCCAGCACATCTAGTCTAGCTGAATCAGATTTAGTTCCTGCTCTCAAAGGCACATAGTCTAGAACAGCAGGTAGGATGGCAGAGCCTTTGATGATAAGTCACTATGAGGAAAAGACCATGCAGCAAAGTGCCAGTGTTGGAAACCGTCTTCAGCTTGGTTGAACTGGGCCACCAGTTCCATTGAGAACACTACCTTTTTAGCTAAACTCGGGCATGATGATCATTGGAAGCTGGAGGAGGAGGCTACTGGCCAGAAAATCTCAGCATAAGCCATGGCTCGGGCAGTGCAGGAGCAGTTGGGGAGCAGAGGACCCATCCATGGGGTTAGCAAGGGTCAGGCTAAGGAGAGACCCAAATTATATGGGTCAATGAGTTAAGTGAATTTCCGTGGCAAGAAGACTTCTAGGAAGGCAGAGTTGATCAGATCTCAACTTTAGGCAAAAATAGAAATCTCAAGGTTCTGAGTAGGATAAATTACAATGAGAAAATAATAATAATAATAATAATAAAGAGGCCAAGGAAACAAGTTGGGAGGCTTTTGGAAATTGTACCAATAAGACCATAATCTTTAAAACCAGTTGCTGTCAAACTGATTCCAGCTCATGGCAACTCCATGTGTCAGACTAGAATTATGCTCCACACAGTTTTCTTTTTCTCTTTAAATTTTATTTATTTTGTTCTTGTTGAGAATATACACAGCACACATACACCAATCCAAAAGTTTCTCGTGTACAATTTAGTAACACTGATTACATTCTTCAAGGTATGCAACTGTTCTCACCCTCCTTTTCTCAGTTGTTTCCCCCTCATTATATAAACCTGCTGCCCCTAATGCTCCTACATAATCTTTCAAGTTGCTGTTGTCATTTTGATCCCATGTAGATAGTTCTTAAGAGCATAATGCTCACAGCAGACCTTTTTTACTAGTTAAGCTAAACTACTGTTCAGTTTTAAGATGACTTCAGGGGATATTTTTGGTTTAAGGTCTGGTTTAAGGATATTTTGATTTAAAGATTATCTCAGGGTAATAGTTTCATGGGCTCACCCACTCTCCACGGCCCCATGAAAATTTGAAATTCTGTTCTTCATTTTCCCCATTTTGAGTAGTATTCTTCTGTTCTGTTTACCTAGTGCCTATCTGACAAGAATATACCACAAATGGCATGGCTTGAACGAACAGGAGTTTATTCTCTTACAGTTTGGAGGCTTTAAGTCTGAGTTCAAAGTGCCAGGCTCTAGGGGCTGAGGAAAAGCCCCTCAGCCTTGGGCTTCAGCTCTACCTCCTGCTCCCGGCCCACTGGAGCTAGAGGCATTTCTTCATTCAGACAGCTGCTGGCTCCTGAGACTGACAAGCCCAAGGTTGACAAGTACAAAAGTACAGTCCCAATGTTACCAAACCACACAGCAGGCCATTAATTCAAGTCCACTGAAAGTTCCAAGGTCAGCAGAGCATAGCAAGCTGCTGAACAATGACACAGTTACATGCAGGGTTCAAGCATGCCATAAGCTGCTTCTTATATACGGGAAGCAGACCATAATCATAAGCGGCTGCTCCAATGCATTCCACCATAGAGTTAATTACCAATCTTACTCTGGGGAATAACTACATCCAGCTGCCCAGCCACTCAACCAGGCCTATCCACAAACTTAACTACCACATCTTCTATGGAATCTTTGATCAAAATGTTTAGTGATGGTAGCCAGGCACCATCCAGTTCTTCTGGTCTCATGGCAAAGGAGGAAGTTGTTCATGGAGGCAATTAGCCACATACCCTCCTCCTATTTCTGACTCTCCTTCTTCCTCTGTGCAGGCAAATAAAGATCAATTATTGTGCCTTGGATGGCCTCTTGCAAGCTTATAAGACACCAGGACTGTGCAACAAACTAGGAAGTAGAACAGAATCCCTAAACATGTTATTAGACCAATTAAGCAGGATGCCCCATAAAACTGTGACCCTAAATCTCCAAACCAAAAAACAAATCCCATGAGGTGTTTGATTGCACATAAGAGCCTCAGCAGCTACTCTTTTTTGTTGTTGATGCTGTAAATATATCCATCACACAACTTTTGCCAATTCAACTTTTTATAGGTATACAACTTACAGACAGCAATTATAACAATCAGCTCTGCAATCCTACCCTTTACCAATGTAATTTTTCCATCACTGTTAACCTTCTTTTTCCCCCTTCCTCCCACACCTGGTAACTACTCATAAACTTTGGTCTCTGTAGATTTGCCTTTTCTTGTCTTCTTATATAAATGAGGTCATACAATACTTGCCTTTCTATGATTGGCCTGTTACACTTATAATGTCTTCCAGCTCCATCCATATTGTAGCACGATCAAAACTTCATTTTTCCTACTGGCTGCATAGTATTCCATTGTATGTATACAACACATTTTTTTTTTTCCTATCTATTCTGTTGATGGGCATGTAGGTTGTTTCTGTCTTTTGGCTATTGTGACTAGTGCTGCAATAATAACATTGGCATACAAATCTCTTTTTGAGGGTCTATTTTTAAGTCTTTTGTTTATACCTCAGAGTGGAACTGCTGGGTCATATGGTAGCTCTGTTCTTAGTTTTTTGAGGAAGTGTCACACTGTTTTCTTCAGTGGCTATACCATTTTGCATTCTCACCAACAATGGATAAGGGTTCCATTTCCCCACATCCTCAACAATATTTCTTATTTTCTGTCTTTTTGTTGTTGTTATTTTAGTCATCCTAGTGGGAGTGTAATGGTATCTCCTTGTGGTTTTGATTTACACCTCTGATGGCTAATGATGCTGAGCATCTTTTCATGTGTTTGGTGGCCATTCCAGTGTCCTCTTTGGTGAAGTGTCTATTCAAGTCCTTTGCCCATTTAATGATTGGGATATTTGTCTTTTTGTTGTTAAGTTGTTGAATGTTATATATATTTTGGTTATCATATTCTTGTCAGATATATGGTTTTCAAAGATATTCTCCTAGTAGGTAGTTTGTCTTTTTACTTTTTCGGCTTAACCAAAAAAGTCTTTGGATGAACAAAAGTTTTTGATTTTTATGAGGTCTCATTTATTTGTCTTTTGCTGTTTGTACTTTCGTTATTATATTGGATAATCTATTGTTGGAAGCTAGGCCTGACATTGTTGTCCCTGCTTGTTCTTCTAAGAATTTTATGGTTTTAGTTTGCACATTTCGGTCCTTAATCCATTTTGAATTTGTTTTTGTGTATGGTGTGAGGCACAGATCCTGTTTCATTTTTCTGCATGTGAAAATTTTCCCAGCACCATTTATTGAAGAGCCTCTTCTTTCCCCCACTAAAGGGACTGATTAGCACCCTTCTCAAAACTTAGTTGACCACAGATGTGTGGGTAATACGGGATTTAATGGATGATCTTTTGGAAGTAGATGGCCAGACTTTTACCTAGTGCTGCTTTAACAGAAAATATACCACAAATGGGATGGCTTTAACAAACAAGAGTTTATTCTTTTATAATTTTGGAGGTTAGAAGTCTGAGTTTCAAGTGCCAGGCTCCAGGGGCTGGGTGAAAGCCCCTCGACCTTAGGCTTCAGCTCTGCCTCTTGCTCCCGGCCCACTGAAGCTAGAGGTATCTCTTCACTCAGGCAGCTGCTAGCTGCTGAGGTTGACAAACCCAAGGTCAACAAGTGCAAAGGCACAGTCCCAATATCACCAAACCATATGGCAGGCCATTAATTCAAGTCCATTAAAAGTCTCAAGATCTGCAGGGCAACATGACAGACTGATGAACAATGACTCAGCTACATGCAGGGTTCAAGCATGCCATCAACTGCAGACCTTCCTCAAGGTTACTTCTTATATACTGGAAGCAGCCCACATTCCTAAAGCAGCTACTCAGCTACTCCAGTAGATTCCACTGTGGAGTTAATTACCAGTCTCACCATGGGCAATAACTACATCCAGCTACCCAGCCACTCAACCAGGCCCAGCCAAGTTGACACACAGACTTAACTACCACACATTTCTTCCAAGGTGCCTCTGGGTGGACTTAAACCTCCAACCTTTTGGTTAGCAGTTGAGAGTGTGAACTGTTTGCACTAACCAAGGTCTCCAATAATTTCTTCTGGTATCTTCCATATACCAAGCACTGTCACATATAACAGGTGTCTGGGAGGAGCAAATGATAAAGTATGCTCAATTATCAGCTGAAAGGTTGGTGGTTCAAACCCACCCAGACATGCCCCAGAAAACAGGCCTTGTGATCTGCTTCCAAAACGTCAGAGACTTTATAGGAACTAACAACAATCACATATAATGGTCACAATCTTACAAGCGACACCATTATTCTTCCCACCTTACAGATGAGGCAACTGAGGTTCAGAGACGGGAAATGCTTGCCAAGTTCAAACAGTGGCTAAGTGGCAGGTCTGGGCTGTGACCTCAGAGCCCCTGCTCTGCACCTCCCTGAGGTGGAACATCAGCTGGGTGGCTTAGTGAATGTGGAATGGCAGGGCCAACTGCAGAGACCAGCCTGGGTGATCATGACTAGCTATGCAGGTACTATCCTAGAAGTGGCAATGGCTTTGCACTGTTACCTATACTCAGACCCAGTGCCCCAACCCAGCATACCCTGCCCCATGGCATGCCTTGGTTGGATGGCTGGAACATGGAGAAGATGGAGCAGTATTTGCTCCCTGGGAGGTATTAGATAACCCCAGTGAAATATCTATTTCACAGCGTACTTACAACCTGGGCATCATCACTTGATGTGCAAGTCAACTAAACCCATCCTCTCTGCACGCCTGCCATGCTATGTCTGAGAAGGTGGTTCCTAAGAATCCTGAGCCTGATAACAGACACATGTCACAGGCAGCAAAGCTGCTTAGTGCACAGTGGAATGGAAATCATTAATGCCCTCTGGAAACTGAAGACAGATATTCTCTGCTTTTATTCTCTAGCTGTGTCTGCTCTTTCTGCAAAGAAGGTCACCAGGATTTCACTAAGGCTGACATATAGAAAACCCCATCTTACAGACAGGAGGGTACAACACACTGCTCATGGATGTCACTCACCTTGCTCGGCTTAAGACAAAGGAGTCCTTGACCATGACCACTGGGCCTAACTCAGGACACTCGGAGTCGTGGTATTGGCTACAATCTTCACACCCTGCAAGCAGATATTGGAGAGTTATGGGGGGGACACAGCCAAGAACATAATGTGCCACACACAGGGAAGTACAGGTCCCATGCCTGATGGAGGTAATCAATGACTGTGATACAAATGCACATTAAGACCATGGAGGGCTCAGCTGGTAGAGTGAGATGCATGTCATGAAGGCCATCCCACCAGGGATTTAAAAAAAAAAAAACAACACTGCCATTGAGTTGATTCTACCCCCACTGGGTTTTTAAGATGGTAAATCTTTATGGAAGTAGATCACCTCATCATCCTTCTGTGTAGCAGCTGGCGGGTTTGAACCACCAATCTTCTGGTTAGCAGTCATGCCTTAGGCACTATGCCACCAGAGCTCCTTTTTTTTTTTTTTTTGGTTTTCCCACCAGGGATACCACTAATAAATAGGACACAAACAGGTCATCTCTCACAAGGAGAAGAGCCTGCTCAAGGCCCACATAGCACATTTGTGAATGATACAGTCACATCTGTGGCAATGGAGAATAAGATCTTACCCCAGGAAAGAAGAGAAATGAAAATTCATCAGTGTGAATCTGCTGTCATAAATCTCACTGCCTGCTTTTCAAACCCTTAGGTTACTTTATTGAATCAATGGCTATTCTGTAAAAAGTGCCCTTAGCCAGGAGTTCTGAGAAAGATGATCTTACCAAAGCCATGCCCCTACAGCTTTATTTTTCATGTAATAAGTAATGTTTTTTGAAGCAAGTGGATATCATTCTAATTTAAAAAGAAAAGAAAACACAGTTTTTCTGTATTATAAAAAAAAACGCTGATGTGGCTTTGCTGAGAGGCAGCATAGCCGGCTATATTCTGGGGACTTACAAATGAACATGATCTCCTCACTCCCATCCTCCGCCATCTCTGACACCTGTCAAGACACAAGAGAACAAGGAGATAGTTAAGCACCTCTGCCCAAACAATTTCTGAAGATAATTCTTACCAAAGCTTTTCAAGAGCTGGTATAAGGACCGTTAGCTGATGCCTTACAGACCACACATACAGGGTATTCTTTTATTGTGAGATGTGGCTGGGGGATTTTATACGTGCTCTCATCCAAAATAATGTGATTTATTTTTTTCAGGAAAAGCATTTGACTCGAATGGCCTCAGGATTAGGATGTTTTTCATGAACTAAGACTTTCACCTTCTCATATTAACCATCAAATGCTGCCTGTAAAATAAATACTTCAGTTGTCATCAAGTTGACTCTGATCATGGCAATCACATGTGTGTCACAGTGGAACTGTGTGCTGTATGATTTTTAATGGATGATTTTTCAGAAGTAGACTGCCAGGCCTTTCTTCCAAGGCATGCCTGGGAGGACTCGAACCTCCAACCTTTTGATTACCAGCTGAACACATTTTCAGTTTAAACCACCCAAAATCAAAAAACCAAACCCATAGTCATTGGCAAGGATTGTGAGGCTGGCACAGGACTGGGCAATGTTTCATTCTGCTGTGCATAGGGTCGCTATGAATCGGCAACGACTCGACAGCACCTAAGAACAACATAGCCAATGAGTTGATTCCAACTCATAGCTACCTGCACTGGGTTTCCAAAACTATAAATCTTTACAGAAGTAGATTGCCTCATCTTCCTCCTGTAGAGCAGCTGGTGGGTTTGAACCACTGACCTTCTGGTTAGCAGCCAAATGCCTTACCCTGTATGCCACCAAAGCTCCTTTAAACCACCCAGGGACTCACAAAATAAATGTAACATCATTAAAAAATGACGGGTAGTTGAATGTCAACTCCACATACCCTCTGCCCCCATCTCTTTCCCCAGAAGCTTAAAGAATAAGAACCAGATCATGTGAAGCCCAAAGAAAATTCAGGTTTGCTGAACATACATTTTGGTGAACAGAGAACAGAACTGAAGACTCTCCTATTGAACAGTGAATGAGCTAAAGGGAAACAGGCAGAGAAGAGACAGGATTTCCGACTTGTCCTCACAATGCCGAGGATAAATAACCAGAGGCTGCTCCCCCCAGACTCCACCCACACACAGAGCACAAAATAATTTATTTTTCTGGAATGCTCTCTGGTGAAGAAACCTCTCTAAAAAGAGAACGCTCATATAAATTAAAAAGATGTGTCTCATGCCATAGCACATCGACTTAGGGCTCGGATAAGGATGTTCTACCTAGCCTTTCCAGATCCTGCTTGCTGGGCACCTCAGCAGTGGTGGTGTCCAGTATGGGCCAGGGATGGCAGCTGGTCACTGCAGGAGAGGGGAGCAGGCATGAAGGGGCAGAGGAAGCACTGGAGGGTGGAGAGTGGAGGGCACGGGCTCTAGTAAATTGCTGGTATGCCTCCAGAAGCTAAGACCCTGAGTACTCCCAGGCAGGTATGCTCTTCATCTGTTACCAGAACCTCTCACAACAGACAATGCATGCTTATGAAGCAACTCCAAACTGTGGGCAGGAATAATAAATGGTGGTGGTTGCACAACATGATGAATATATTTAATGTCACTGAACTGTACAAGTGAAGACTGTTGAAATGGCCAGTATTTGGTTAACTATATATCTACCAAAAAAAAAAAACCTAAAAATTTTTAAAAACCTGTCATTACATCACAGCAGAATATGGAGTCTACAAAGTGGGTCAGAAACAGAGCATGTGGATAAAAGGTATTATTCCCTCTAGACTTTTTTGCTGTGTAAATTGAATAAATGCACAAGTGTTGTAGGCTGGTGCCTCTCCTCCGGGGCAGTGCTGTCTCCAGGAAGTTGGGAAGCAGACTTACTGTACCCCAAAGAAACCCCTCCACCAAGCCAGCCTGCTAGAAGAAAGCCTGCCAAAAAGGTTCCAAATATGACTATAGGAAGGAAAGGAGTCCCTGGGTGGTGTAAACAGCTAATACACTTGGCTGCTAACTGAAAGGTTGGAGGTTCTAGTCCACCCAGAGATCCCTTGTTAGAAAGACCTGGCAGTCTACTTCTGAAAATCAGCCTCAAAAAAACTATGAAGCACAGTTCTACTCTGACACACATGGGTTACCCTGAGTCAGTCAATTCGATGGCAACTTATTTTATTTTATTATTTTTTACAGGGAGGAAATGAGGGAAGGCATGAAAGCATCTTGAAGTTTTAGCCTCTTATTGTACTGCACCCTTGTTATATGTAAATGCCTGCTGCTGGTGTGGTCCATCAAGTTGATTACATTTCATAGTGACCCTATAGGACTGAGCAGAACTGCCCCCATTGGATTTCCCTTAGTTATGTGCTTAGCTGCTAACCAAAAGGTCAGTGGTTTAAACCTACCAGCCACTCCATGAAAGAAGATGTGGCAGTCAGCTTCCACAAAGATGACAGCCTTGAAAACCCTATGGGGCAATTCCACTTTGTCCTATATGGTGGCTAAAAGTCAGAACCCAATAACAATAGGTTTTTACCTATATGATAGCACATTCCCAGGTCTTTTCTCCCACGGAGCCACTGCTGGGTTTGAACATCCAACCTTTCATTAGTGAGTACTTAACTACTCGCTTACTTAACTACTTAACTACTGGGTGACCAGGGTTTCTTGTGTAAGACTAAGCCCTGGGAATAACATTCTCTATTAGTCAGATCTGGTCCCCATCACATGGTCTCTCAAAAAGTTTTTCTAAATCTGGAAACAGAAAACACAGATTTTGCTCTTAGCAAAATCCTTTGAACACTGACTATTCCTTTACAGAGGGAAGTCAGTCTCCAGACTTGTATGGTACCTAAGAAATCCCAGAACAAGGGATCATAAATTATTTTAGAGAAAAGTTTGTTGTTAGGTGACATCGAGTCGGCTCTGACTCATAGCAACCCTATGTACAACAGAACGAGACACTGGTATACTTGAGCCCATTGCTGCAGCCACTGTGTCAGTCCATCTCATTGAGGGCCTTCCCCTTCCTTGCTGACCCTCCATTTTATGAAGCATGGTATGTTTCAATTGTCCCTTCATACAACATAACCAAAGTAGGTAAGATGAAGTCTGATCATTCTCGCTTCCAAGGAGCATTCCGGCTGTACTTCTTCCAGGACAGATTTGTTTGTTCTTTTGGCAGGCCATAGTACTTTTAGTATTCTTCGCCAACACCACAACTCAAAAGCATTAACTCTTCATCAGTCTTCCTTGTTCATTGTCCAGTTCTTATGTGCATATGAGGTATCTACAAAGTGGGTCAGAAACAGAGCATGGGGATAAAAAGTATTATTTCCTCCAGACTTTCTTGCTGTGCAAATTGAATAAATGCACATGGCTTGGATTAGGCGCACCTTACTCTTCAAGGAGGCATCTTTGCTCATCAGCACTTTAAAGAGGTCTTTTGCAGCATATTTCCCCAGTGCAATGTTGTCTGACATCTTGACTGCTGCTTCTCTTGGTGTTGATTGTGGAATCAAGTAATACGGAATCTTTAAAAACTTCAATCCTTTCTCCACTTATTGTGATGCTGCTTATTGGACCAGTTGTGAGGATTTTTGTTTTATGTTGAGCTATACTCCATAGAGCAGATGGAAATCTTTAATCTTCATCAGTAAATGCTCCAAGTCATCCTCACTTTCAACAAGCAAAATGTGTCACCTGTGTATCACAGGTTGTCTTCCTCCAATCTCGATGCCACGTTCTTCTTAATATAATCCAGCTTCTCAGACTATTTGTTCAGCATACAGATTGACGGCAGGTAGGAAGCAGGAAGCCAGGGTGGATGGTGAGAACAGATAAAAGGGAGAGCCCCCAGGCAGGAAGCAGGAAGCCAGGGCAGATGGCCAGAACAGGTAAGGGGAAGGCCAGGTAGTGAGCAGAGTGGTTCACAACAACTAAAGGAGATGAACTTGTCTGTCATTTTGTCATACTGTGGTGGCTTGCATGTTGTTGTGAGGCTGGAGACTGTGCCATTGGTGTTTCAAAAGCTAGCAGGGTTGCTCATGGTGGATGGGTTTCAGCGAAGCTTCCAGATTGGAATAGACTGGGAAGAAGAAAGAGGCTATCTACTTCTCAAAGAATTGGCCAGGGAAAACCTTATGAATAGCACTGAAACACTGTCTGATATATTACTGGAAAACTTTATGAATGGCCCTGAAAGATGACTGATACAGTGCCAGAAGATGAGTCCCTTAGATCGGGAAAAGAAAAAAAAAAAAAAAAAAA